ATCGTCATTAGCAGCAGTGTTGGTATTAGTTCTTGCCGGTTTCTTGTTATTTTCATCCTGTAGGAAGAAAGGACAGAAAGGTAGATACAGATAGGCCTTTCTTCTTCTTTTTTTTTTTCTTTTTATCGTTGGGTAGATGGAATTTTATCACAAAAAATAGTTTTTTGCAAGTTCTAACTGTGGTATTGCTGATTTTTCACTCGGGAAGGAACAGATGAAGAGATTCTGTTAAGAAATTCTCAAAGTTCAAGGCGCAGCCATATGATGGAGGAAGGTATAAATGAAGTTAATGAAGACCACAGTGGAGAGATGAATTTCTTTGGTTTAGCTGAAATACAGGGTGCAACCAACAATTTCTCTGATGCAAATAAGCTTGGAGAAGGAGGTTTTGGTCCTGTTTATAAGGTCTTTAAACAAATAATCAACCTTAGAACAATAGACTTACTTCTGGAATTGTATGACAAATTTACATTATGCTTTTAGGGGAAAATGCCTAATGGAAAGGAAGTAGCAGTCAAGAGGCTATCAATGGGATCGAGTCAAGGTCTTCAAGAGTTCAAGAATGAAGTGAAGTTAATCATTAAACTTCAACACAAAAATCTTGTGAGGCTTTTGGGATACTGCTTGGAGGAAGATGAAAAGCTTCTTGTCTATGAGTACATGACCAATACTAGCTTGGATGCTTTTCTCTTTGGTTAGCTCCTTTCCTTAGATTCCAAGTCTTAATATTATGTTGTTTGCTTTTCTATTTTCAGTGACCAATACTGCTTTTGAAGACAGATTCAACAAAATGCAAGCTGCTAGACTGGGAGACACGGGAAAATATCATCAATGGGACTGCAAAAGGCTTGCAGTATCTGCATGAGGACTCTAGGCTCAAAATAATTCATAGGGATTTGAAGGCAAGCAATATTCTATTGGATGATGAGATGAACCCCAAAATATCAGATTTTGGCACTGCTAGAATTTTTGGAGGCAAACAAATGGAAGCCAACACTGAGAGAGTTGTTGGAACATTGTAAGTGTTTCCCTCATTCTATATTTGGAATTTGTTAGAAACTTATATTTAAGGCATCTAAAATGCTTTCAACAACAGTGGATACATGGCACCAGAATATGCACTAGAAGGGTTATTTTCAGTGAAATCAGATGTCTATAGCTTCGGAATCCTTATGCTAGAAATATTAAGTGGTAAAAAGAATAGGGGATTCTACCACTCAGATTGTGGACAGAGCCTTCTAACATATGTGAGCCTCTTCTCTTAATCTCTGAACTTATGGTGCATAAACAAACATCAGTCCTCTCTACCTACCTTTTTATGAAATATGAACCATTATTATGCGTGATTCTGAACAGGCATGGAAGCTATGGAATGAAGGTAAAGCAGTGGAATTGGTAGATCCAAACATTGTCATTGACTGTCCACTCCACGAAGTTTTAAGAAGGGTGCAAATTGCATTGCTGTGCGTTCAGGACGACCCTGCACTTCGCCCCCCCATGTCAGCTGTTGTTCTCATGCTTGGTAGCAAGTCAGAAAACCTCCCCCAACCATCAGCACGGCCATTTTCTGCAACTAGATTTACTGCACGGTCTGATTATTCTTCAACTAGTGGAGGAAGGACAGGAACATCTGATCAATCTTCAACCTTTTCTACCTAGTTAAAAGATCAAATATTCAGTCGGTCTTACAGGGTAGCTGGCAATGAAATTTGACCTTTTCCTTTTCTCCATTATAATACAAATACCCATTTTCATTATTTGGATGTACATGCATATTTTGATAATTGAAAAATGTTGAATTGCTAAATTTTCATATATGCCTTTCAACGGCTTCTGTACTGAAAATCAGATACAGTTTAAGTAATCGTAAGCCAGCAATGAATTATGAATGAATTAAATGGAAAAATAAAAAATAAAATAAAAAACTGCCCTATTCACAAAAGTTGAGCTGATAGCCAACCGTACCTCTTCATAAAAAATAGTACATGAAAAAAGTCTTTTAAGTGAAAATTAGTCACTTCTGATCCCATCTTTCACCTTCCCTTCTATAACTGAACAGCATCTAATGGCTATACCACCAATACAAACACCAGAACAATCATAGTTATCTCAATTGCAATTCCCTGTGATGAAGATCTTCGAGTACCTGTTTATAGAGTTACAGCCATACTTTAGATTCATTCACCATTTAATGAATTCAAGAATAACTTCAATAGTAGGGGGAAATAATGATTGGTGAAGTTACATGGCTTACCGTGATTAGAAGAGGTAGACATATTGAAATAGAACTGATAGTCATGGTACCACATGCTACAACTAGACCCATAAATCTCCCACCCTCTCTTGTTTCCAACTGTGGTTCTAAAAGTCGTCAGTTGAGCATCAAAGCACTTGCTGCAGTCTGCCCCGCTGATATCTCTGGTGCACTGAGCCATAACATACCTCCTTCCATTCTGGCCAACATCCAGCACTCCAGCCTGAAACATCAGAGGCTGATTTGCTGCCGCGGCTGCAATCCCATTCGTGAAATTGAATCCTTGGAATACAACAGATGGGTCATCAAAATTGGTATCATTGAACACTGCTGTTGAGGATTGATCCCAAACACCAAAAAAAGGCTGATCAGAATACCGGAGAAAGCACCAAGTGAACCAAACCTTAACATTTTTGCTTTTGGGGCAATCCTGCAAGGCAGCAGATATGGATTGCTTTGTGCAGTTAGCACAGTTTTCTGCAGAAACGTCTCCTCTACACTGCACAAGACCATAAATCTTGTCTGACTTCTTCCCTGCAGTGGTTTTATAAAAGCTGCTGCGAGCAGGCCCATTTCCAGCAAGCTGATTCAGGAGACTGTTAAGGTTGGCCTGGAAGGAGTTTTCAGATGTTGAGTTATCAGCCTCTGAACATTCCCAACTGGCACTCACATTGTTGTCAGCATCACAAATGTGCTGTAACAACAACATTAAAGTTGAAAACAAAAGAAAACCCAAAACATTCACCCCAAGCATCTTCATATCCTGTTTCAACTTTGGTTTCAGGAGGAAGAGAAAAAGAGAGATTAATCTGTCACTGATTTAACTGTACTTGAATTATAGTTAAACAATCAAGAAAAAGAAAAATTCTATCCCCAAGTGTTCCAAATCTAAAAAGTCAACTCTTTCGGATTTGGTATCTGACATTTTTGTTGTACTAAGCAATAACAAATAGAAATTAGTAGTTAAAAAACTGCAACTGGGGCAACTAGCTCATTCTCCTACTTATCCATGTGGGCTCCCCCCAAATGCTCTGAAGGGACCATAAGTTAGGATAAGTGCAAAGCAATGTGAACTTAAGATTAAGATCACTCAAAGTCAGATGAGTACTTGATTATCTAAAGAATTTTAGGCATGACCAGAGTCAATCCAAAATCCGAAAAGCAACTTATATGTCACATGTGATTGGATGGAAAAGCACATGTGTCTGCCTAAGTGTGGAGGTCATTTTCTTTTCCTTTTTAAAGTACCATCATCGGAACTTTAATCAACTGGGGCTGTGTGTAACCCAGAACTTTGATGATGGGCTTCACGATGTAGATAGGATCCAAAGACAGTGAAAGGCTGCAGCCTGCATGGGGGATGCGCCCTGCAATCTTGTTCTTTGAGTTTTTGAGCCCATTGTGGTTCTGAGCAAGAGTTATGGTTCCCAAACAAAAATATTAAAAATATTAAAATTATAAAATATTATTTATAAAAATATTAATTTAATTTAATTTAATTAATAAAAATTATTAATAATTTTAATTATTAATTAATAAATTGATAAAATAATTACTATTTATTAATTAATAAATTAAATTAATTTAAAAAAATAATATTTTTAGATATTATTTAATAAAAAACTACAAAAATTAGTAACTTCAACATTTTTTATAATAACAATAACCACACTTGTTGTTAGGCTGTCTTTATCTTTTAGTAATCAAGTAGTGATGAGAATATTTATGTGCAAAGGAAACATGACCATTGTTACTTGTTTAAAAATGGACGGTTATCAATCAACCTTATTTTTCAATTGAGTCTGGTAGGGTACTGATCATTTGTTCCCTTCCCTGTACACATAAAATGAGATATTAAACTCACTTTCCACTTGATCCACTTGGTTTTTCTTAGAAGATAAACTTGCTAAACCTTTCTTTCTCACACCTTTATGTATGTTTTTTTTTCTTCATAAAATGCTTGTGTTCTTATCTGTTCATTACTATATGTGTGTTTTTTGTCCATTTAAAACAAATTAAATCATGAAAGACAAAAAGTCTCTATTCCACTAGAGATGTTTGCAAAATCAAAAGATATTGCTTTGCATCATCACTAAGGTGATGCTATAGACATTGGAAAACATAGCCCCTTGATTCGGGAGGGGCCCCATGTCTCTGTAGCCCGCCAAAATCAAGTGGCTTGATGTTTTAGCTTGATTTTGGCATGAAAATTTTCTGATAATTATTTCCCCAACCATTATACTCACCTTGAAAATTGAGAAGAAGCTCATCACTCAGTTTTTTACTCTTTTGTTTATTTTTGGAAAACAAGATATTTAAGTTACAACTATGAGTAAGCAAAATCTATTGAACATATTTCTTTTGTTATTTTCTGACACTCCTTCCTAATGTAACAACACTCCATACAAAGCTTTCTTCACTGAGAC